CTCGTGGACCAAGGCGCGCTCTCGTGGACCAAGGCGCGCTCTCGTGGACCAAGGCGCGCTCTCGTGGACCAAGGCGCGCTCTCGTGGACCAAGGCGCGCTCTCGTGGACCAAGGCGCGCTCTCGTGGACCAAGGCGCGCTCTCGTGGACCAAGGCGCGCTCTCGTGGACCAAGGCGCGCTCTCGTGGACCAAGGCGCGCTCGTGGACCAAGGCGCGCTCTCGTGGACCAAGGCGCGCTCTCGTGGACCAAGGCGCGCTCTCGTGGACCAAGGCGCGCTCTCGTGGACCAAGGCGCGCTCTCGTGGACCAAGGCGCGCTCTCGTGGACCAAGGCGCGCTCTCGTGGACCAAGGCGCGCTCTCGTGGACCAAGGCGCGCTCTCGTGGACCAAGGCGCGCTCTCGTGGACCAAGGCGCGCTCTCGTGGACCAAGGCGCGCTCTCGTGGACCAAGGCGCGCTCTCGTGGACCAAGGCGCGCTCTCGTGGACCAAGGCGCGCTCTCGTGGACCAAGGCGCGCTCTCGTGGACCAAGGCGCGCTCTCGTGGACCAAGGCGCGCTCTCGTGGACCAAGGCGCGCTCTCGTGGACCAAGGAGCGCTCTCGTGGACCAAGGAGCGCTCTCGTGGACCAAGGAACGCTCTCGTGGACCAAGGCGCGCTCTCGTGGACCAAGGCGCGCTCTCGTGGACCAAGGCGCGCTCTCGTGGACCAAGGCGCGCTCTCGTGGACCAAGGCGCGCTCTCGTGGACCAAGGCGCGCTCTCGTGGACCAAGGCGCGCTCTCGTGGACCAAGGCGCGCTCTCGTGGACCAAGGCGCGCTCTCGTGGACCAAGGCGCGCTCTCGTGGACCAAGGCGCGCTCTCGTGGACCAAGGCGCGAACTCGTGGAGCGAACTCGTGGACCAAGGCGCGCTCTCGTGGACCAAGGCGCGCTCTCGTGGACCAAGGCGCGCTCTCGTGGACCAAGGCGCGCTCTCGTGGACCAAGGCGCGCTCTCGTGGACCAAGGCGCGCTCTCGTGGACCAAGGCGCGCTCTCGTGGACCAAGGCGCGCTCTCGTGGACCAAGGCGCGCTCTCGTGGACCAAGGCGCGCTCTCGTGGACCAAGGCGCGCTCTCGTGGACCAAGGCGCGCTCTCGTGGACCAAGGCGCGCTCTCGTGGACCAAGGCGCGCTCTCGTGGACCAAGGCGCGCTCTCGTGGACCAAGGCGCGCTCTCGTGGACCAAGGCGCGCTCTCGTGGACCAAGGCGCGCTCTCGTGGACCAAGGCGCGCTCTCGTGGACCAAGGCGCGCTCTCGTGGACCAAGGCGCGCTCTCGTGGACCAAGGCGCGCTCTCGTGGACCAAGGCGCGCTCTCGTGGACCAAGGCGCGCTCTCGTGGACCAAGGCGCGCTCTCGTGGACCAAGGCGCGCTCGTGGACCAAGGCGCGCTCTCGTGGACCAAGGCGCGCTCTCGTGGACCAAGGCGCGCTCTCGTGGACCAAGGCGCGCTCTCGTGGACCAAGGCGCGCTCTCGTGGACCAAGGCGCGCTCTCGTGGACCAAGGCGCGCTCTCGTGGACCAAGGCGCGCTCTCGTGGACCAAGGCGCGCTCTCGTGGACCAAGGCGCGCTCTCGTGGACCAAGGCGCGCTCTCGTGGACCAAGGCGCGCTCTCGTGGACCAAGGCGCGCTCTCGTGGACCAAGGCGCGCTCTCGTGGACCAAGGCGCGCTCTCGTGGACCAAGGCGCGCTCTCGTGGACCAAGGCGCGCTCTCGTGGACCAAGGCGCGCTCTCGTGGACCAAGGCGCGCTCTCGTGGACCAAGGAGCGCTCTCGTGGACCAAGGAGCGCTCTCGTGGACCAAGGAACGCTCTCGTGGACCAAGGCGCGCTCTCGTGGACCAAGGCGCGCTCTCGTGGACCAAGGCGCGCTCTCGTGGACCAAGGCGCGCTCTCGTGGACCAAGGCGCGCTCTCGTGGACCAAGGCGCGCTCTCGTGGACCAAGGCGCGCTCTCGTGGACCAAGGCGCGCTCTCGTGGACCAAGGCGCGCTCTCGTGGACCAAGGCGCGCTCTCGTGGACCAAGGCGCGCTCTCGTGGACCAAGGCGCGCTCTCGTGGACCAAGGCGCGCTCTCGTGGACCGCGCTCTCGTGGACCAAGGCGCGCTCTCGTGGACCAAGGCGCGCTCTCGTGGACCAAGGCGCGCTCTCGTGGACCAAGGCGCGCTCTCGTGGACCAAGGCGCGCTCTCGTGGACCAAGGCGCGCTCTCGTGGACCAAGGCGCGCTCTCGTGGACCAAGGCGCGCTCTCGTGGACCAAGGCGCGCTCTCGTGGACCAAGGCGCGCTCTCGTGGACCAAGGCGCGCTCTCGTGGACCAAGGCGCGCTCTCGTGGACCAAGGCGCGCTCTCGTGGACCAAGGCGCGCTCTCGTGGACCAAGGCGCGCTCTCGTGGACCAAGGCGCGCTCTCGTGGACCAAGGCGCGCTCTCGTGGACCAAGGCGCGCTCTCGTGGACCAAGGCGCGCTCTCGTGGACCAAGGCGCGCTGTCGTGGACCAAGGCGCGCTCTAGTGCACCAAGGCGCGCTCTCGTGGACCAAGGCGCGCTCTCGTGGACCAAGGCGCGCTCTCGTGGACCAAGGCGCGCTCTCGTGGACCAAGGCGCGCTCTCGTGGACCAAGGCGCGCTCTCGTGGACCAAGGCGCGCTCTCGTGGACCAAGGCGCGCTCTCGTGGACCAAGGCGCGCTCTCGTGGACCAAGGCGCGCTCTCGTGGACCAAGGCGCGCTCTCGTGGACCAAGGCGCGCTCTCGTGGACCAAGGAGCGCTCTCGTGGACCAAGGAACGCTCTCGTGGACCAAGGAACACTCTCGTGGACCAAGGCGCGCTCTCGTGGACCAAGGCGCGCTCTCGTGGACCAAGGCGCGCTCTCGTGGACCAAGGCGCGCTCTCGTGGACCAAGGCGCGCTCTCGTGGACCAAGGCGCGCTCTCGTGGACCAAGGCGCGCTCTCGTGGACCAAGGCGCGCTCTCGTGGACCAAGGCGCGCTCTCGTGGACCAAGGCGCGCTCTCGTGGACCAAGGCGCGCTCTCGTGGACCAAGGCGCGCTCTCGTGGACCAAGGCGCGCTCTCGTGGACCAAGGCGCGCTCTCGTGGACCAAGGCGCGCTCTCGTGGACCAAGGCGCGCTCTCGTGGACCAAGGCGCGCTCTCGTGGACCAAGGCGCGCTCTCGTGGACCAAGGCGCGCTCTCGTGGACCAAGGCGCGCTCTCGTGGACCAAGGCGCGCTCTCGTGGACCAAGGCGCGCTCTCGTGGACCAAGGCGCGCTCTCGTGGACCAAGGCGCGCTCTCGTGGACCAAGGCGCGCTCTCGTGGACCAAGGCGCGCTCTCGTGGACCAAGGCGCGCTCTCGTGGACCAAGGCGCGCTCTCGTGGACCAAGGCGCGCTCTCGTGGACCAAGGCGCGCTCTCGTGGACCAAGGCGCGCTCTCGTGGACCAAGGCGCGCTCGTGGACCAAGGCGCGCTCTCGTGGACCAAGGCGCGCTCTCGTGGACCAAGGCGCGCTCTCGTGGACCAAGGCGCGCTCTCGTGGACCAAGGCGCGCTCTCGTGGACCAAGGCGCGCTCTCGTGGACCAAGCCGCTCTCTCGTGGACCAAGGCGCGCTCTCGTGGACCAAGGCGCGCTCTCGTGGACCAAGGCGCGCTCTCGTGGACCAAGGCGCGCTCTCGTGGACCAAGGCGCGCTCTCGTGGACCAAGGCGCGCTCTCGTGGACCAAGGCGCGCTCTCGTGGACCAAGGCGCGCTCTCGTGGACCAAGGCGCGCTCTCGTGGACCAAGGCGCGCTCTCGTGGACCAAGGCGCGCTCTCGTGGACCAAGGCGCGCTCTCGTGGACCAAGGCGCGCTCTCGTGGACCAAGGCGCGCTCTCGTGGACCAAGGCGCGCTCTCGTGGACCAAGGCGCGCTCTCGTGGACCAAGGCGCGCTCTCGTGGACCAAGGCGCGCTCTCGTGGACCAAGGCGCGCTCTCGTGGACCAAGGCGCGCTCTCGTGGACCAAGGCGCGCTCTCGTGGACCAAGGCGCGCTCTCGTGGACCAAGGCGCGCTCTCGTGGACCAAGGCGCGCTCTCGTGGACCAAGGCGCGCTCTCGTGGACCAAGGCGCGCTCTCGTGGACCAAGGCGCGCTCTCGTGGACCAAGGCGCGCTCTCGTGGACCAAGGCGCGCTCTCGTGGACCAAGGCGCGCTCTCGTGGACCAAGGCGCGCTCTCGTGGACCAAGGCGCGCTCTCGTGGACCAAGGCGCGCTCTCGTGGACCAAGGCGCGCTCTCGTGGACCAAGGCGCGCTCTCGTGGACCAAGGCGCGCTCTCGTGGACCGCGCTCTCGTGGACCAAGGCGCGCTCTCGTGGACCAAGGCGCGCTCTCGTGGACCAAGGCGCGCTCTCGTGGACCAAGGCGCGCTCTCGTGGACCAAGGCGCGCTCTCGTGGACCAAGGCGCGCTCTCGTGGACCAAGGCGCGCTCTCGTGGACCAAGGCGCGCTCTCGTGGACCAAGGCGCGCTCTCGTGGACCAAGGCGCGCTCTCGTGGACCAAGGCGCGCTCTCGTGGACCAAGGCGCGCTCTCGTGGACCAAGGCGCGCTCTCGTGGACCAAGGCGCGCTCTCGTGGACCAAGGCGCGCTCTCGTGGACCAAGGCGCGCTCTCGTGGACCAAGGCGCGCTCTCGTGGACCAAGGCGCGCTCTCGTGGACCAAGGCGCGCTCTCGTGGACCAAGGCGCGCTCGTGGACCAAGGCGCGCTCTCGTGGACCAAGGCGCGCTCTCGTGGACCAAGGCGCGCTCTCGTGGACCAAGGCGCGCTCTCGTGGACCAAGGCGCGCTCTCGTGGACCAGCTCATATACCGCCCGAGCTCGCTCCGTCTCCCCCAGGCTGCGCTCCAGCTCTGCGAACTTGGCTCAGGCCTGACAGCTGGTAGTCTGAGCCCACACCCACACGCACCCACACACACCGTTGCTTACAGCGTACCTTCCACAGCAGCTCAGGAGTGTCAAGCAAGGGCTGTCCAATGGCTAACTCGTATACAGCCCGTGCCCGCTCGGTTTCCCCCAGGCTGCGCTCCAGCTCTGCGAACTTGGCCCAGGCCTGACAGCTGGCGGGCTGCCATTGGAGGTACTTCTCGTAGAGCATGCGGCAGCGGTCGATGTTCCCTAGCTGCAATTCCATTTCGATATACGCCTTGAAGATCTGTGGGTGAGGGAAAAGGTGAGGCATGGGGGATAGAGAGGGTTGCGAGGGGAGGAGAGGCAGACACTGGATGCCATTGGAGGTACTTGTCGTACAGCATGCGGCAGCGGTCGATGTTGCCTAGCTGCAATTCCATTTCGATATACGCCTTGAAAATCTGGGGGATGTGTTTGGAGGGAGGACAAACATGGGAGTGTGGGCTGCGACTGGAGGTACTTGTCGTAGAGCATGCGGCAGCGGTCGATGTTGCCTAGCTGTAGCTCCATCTCTATGTACGCCTTGAAGATCTGATGGTGGGTAGGGAAACAAGGAAGAGTGGTGCGAATGGAAGGTACTTGTCGTACAGCATGCGGCAGCGGTCAATGTTTCCCAGCTGTAGCTCCACCTCAATATACGCCTTGAAGATCTGCAGGGTGTGTGTGGAGGGTGGGGTGGGAGACACATGGGAAATGGCGAGTCACTGAGGCAGCGGTCGATGTTCCCTAGCTGTAACTCCATCTCTATGTATGCCTTGAAGACCTGCAAATGACGGGGAAAGAATGAGTTGGTGGCGCAGAGTGGGGAAGGGTGTTGGCATGAGGTGGGATATGAGGTACTTGTCGTAGAGCATTCGGCAGCGGTCGATGTTGCTTAGCTGTAGCTCCATCTCTATGTACGCCTTGAAGATCTGCGGGGGGTTTGTGTGTAGGGGACATGCCGTGGGAGGGTTGAGACAGGGAGGAGAGACAGACACGGGCTGCCATTGGAGGTACTTGTCGTAGAGCATTTGGCATTCGACAGCAGTTCGGGAGTGTCGAGCATGCTGATGCGCTGATGCTGATGCTGATGCGCTGATGCTGATGCTGATGCTGATGCTGATGCGCTGATGCTGATGCTGATGCGCTGATGCGCTGATGCTGATGCTGATGCGCTGATGCGCTGATGCTGATGCTGATGCGCTGATGCTGATGCGCTGATGCTGATGCTGATGCTGATGCTGATGCGCTGATGCTGATGCTGATGCGCTGATGCGCTGATGCTGATGCTGATGCGCTGATGCTGATGCTGATGCGCTGATGCGCTGATGCTGATGCTGATGCGCTGATGCGCTGATGCTGATGCTGATGCTGATGCGCTGATGCTGATGCTGCTGATGCTGATGCTGATGCTGGTGCTGGTGCTGATGCTGATGCTGATGCTGATGCGCTGATGCTGATGCTGATGCTGATGCGCTGATGCTGATGCTGATGCTGATGCTGATGCGCTGATGCTGATGCGCTGATGCGCTGATGCTGATGCTGATGCTAATGCTGATGCTGATGCTGATGCTGATGCTGATGTGCTGATGCTGATGCTGATGCTGATGCGCTGATGCTGATGCTGATGCTGATGCTGATGCTGATGCTGATGCTGATGTGCTGATGCTGATGCGCTGATGCTGATGCGCTGATGCTGATGCGCTGATGCTGATGCTGATGCTGATGCTGATGCTGATGCTGATGCTGATGCTGATGCTGATGTGCTGATGCTGATGCTGATGCGCTGATGCTGATGCTGATGCTGATGCTGATGCTGATGTGCTGATGCTGATGCTGATGCTCATGGCGTTCAAGCATAGCGTGCTTATACATCACTCATAAATTGTATCTGACCTCACCTTGTCTCTGGGAGCCACTCCAATGGCGTGCCCCTTATAGCCATTCTATATCACCTTATAGCCATTCTATATCACCTTATAGCCATTCTATATCACCTTATAGCCATTCTATATCACCTTATAGCCATTCTATATCACCTTATAGCCATTCTATATCACCTTATAGCCATTCTATATCACCTTATAGCCATTCTATATCACCTTATAGCCATTCTATATCACCTTATAGCCATTCTATATCACCTTATAGCCATTCTATATCACCTTATAGCCATTCTATATCACCTTATCCTTGGGAGCAACGCCAATGGCGTGCCCCAGGATCTGCCGGGCGGCGGAGAGGCGCTTCTGGCGGATCTCAAACCTTCCGACCTTGCTGCCACACATCCAAACCGTACCGCACCTTATCTTACCGCTCTGCATCCCTGCCATACCTTGTCCTTGGGAGCCACTCCAATCGCATGCCCCAGGATCTGCCGGACATTCAAGAGGCGCTTCTGGCTGATCTCAAGCCCATGGCACACCGGTCTTTCTGCTAGCCACTTCCACAGCACACCATATCACAACCCACCTTATCCTTGGGAGCCACGCCGATCGCATGCCCCAGGATCTGCCAGGCGGAGGAGAGGCGCTTCTGGCGGATCTCAAACTGGGCGGCGAGCATAGCGTGCTTGTACAGCACTTTTATATTGTATCTGACCTCACCTTGTCTTTAGGAGCCACCCCAATGGCGTGGCCCAGAATCTGCCGGGCAGCGGAGAGGCGCTTCTGGCGGATCTCAAACTGGGCGGCGAGCAGCCAGATCTTGGCGAATGAGAACTTGCCATGTGGAATCAGCTTCAGGCACTCCCGGTACACCTCCCTCGTCCTCTCCATGTCGCCTGCTTCGAGTTCTTCGTACAAAGCGTAGTTGATCCTGGTGGGGGTGTGGGGGGGACGTAGGTGTTGGGAGTGGTGGGAGGAAGTGCTGTGTGGTGGGAGTGGTGCTGGGGCCACTCCCGGTACACCTCCCGCGTCCTCTCCATGTCCCCTGCTTCCAGCTCCTCATATAAAGCATAGTTGATCCTGGCGGGTGAGTGTATAGGAGGGGGGAAGGAGAGGGGGAACGTGGTGGCTGGTCGTGGTGAGATCGGCTTCAGGCACTCCCGGTACACCTCCCGCGTCCTCTCCATGTCCCCGGCTTCCAGCTCCTCGTATACATAGTAAATCCTGTGGGGAAGGGGGGAGTGTGGGTGGGGGTGGTGTTCGGATCGGAGGTGGATGGTAATTACTAATTGATGTAGGTTGGAACCACTCAAGATTGAACTGCATTCAACTCACCAGAGGTAGATGTATCGAAACCAAAAACGCTTTTCATCCGCCGGAGGCACATTCGCAATCGCCCACTCATACACCTCCCACACCCGCTCCGCCTCCCCCAACTCTCCAACATAGAGGTATATGCATGGCACTGCATTCGTATCAGCTCACCAGAGGTAGATGTATCGCTGCCAGAACCGCTTCTCATCAGCAGGAGGCACGTTGGCAATCGCCCGTTCGTACACCTCCCGCACCCGCTCCGTCCAATGCATCCCACCACCTCACAAGAACTAGACGTACCACACCACACCACACTGCACCGCATTCAACTCACCAGAGGTAGATGTATCGCTGCCAGAAGCGCTTCTCATCGGCCGGCAGGACATTCGCAATGGCCCGTTCGTACACCTCCCGCACACGCTCCACCTCCCCCCATCCCACCATTTACACCTCACAAGACATGCAAGTACCGCACTGCATTCAGCCCACCAGAGGTAGATGTATCGCTGCCAGAAGCGCTTCTCATTCGCCGGAGGCACATTCGCGATCGCCCGCTCATACACCTCCCGCACCCGCTCCGCTTCCCCCACACTCTCCTCCAACCTCACACAGAGGTATATGTGTCCATCCCATCCATCCCACCCCACCAGCTCACCAGAGGTAGATGTATCGCTGCCAGAAGCGCTTCTCATCAGCAGGCGGCACGTTGGCAATCGCCCGCTCATACACCTCCCGCACCCGCTCCGCTTCCCCCACACTCTCCTCCAACCTCACATAGAGGTAGATCATAGATGCATGGCACTGCATTCATTTCAGCTCACCAGAGGTAGATGTATCGCTGCCAAAATCGCTTTTCATCAGCAGGTGGCACATTCGCGATGGCCCGCTCATACACCTCCCGCACCCGCTCCGCTTCCCCCACACTCTCCTCCAACCGCACATAGTCAAACCACGCGTCGTAGTTCCTCGGATTCCGCTTCACCTCCTCCTCATACTCAAACCGCCTCTTCCCCACCACCACATCCTCTATCCCTGCCCGGTCCCCGTGCTGCTTCTCAAAAACCACGAACTTTTTGTACAGGGATTCGGCCTGGGCCTTCGGGACATGGTCGAGGGCATATTTGTAAATCGCCCTTGCGCGTTCGGTCTCTTTGCATATCCGCTCCTCGAACTCCGCAAACGCGACGAAAAGTTCCTCGTTCTGCCCGTCCTCGCCGAGAATTTCAACTGCCCGCTCGTACACCTCCCGGGCGCGCGCAATCTCCCCCTGCTTCACCTCGAATTTCGCGAAACGGATCCACGCTTTCACCGTGGGAATGCACATGGTGTAACGCTCGAACACGGCGCGAGCGCGTGCGATCTCCCCGTATCGGAGCTCGAATTTGATGTATGCGGACCAGCCGTGATGGTCGGGTTCCCATTTCATCCATCGCTCCAACACCTGTCGTGCCCCTGCCACGTTCCCCAGCATCTCCTCCATGTGAATGTACTTGTACCTTTGAAGGGGGGGAAGGGAGAGAGAAGGGGGATGGCGGAAGAGGGGTGGGGAAAGAGGGGGAGGACAGGGACCAGCCGTGGTGGTCGGGTTCCCATTTCATCCATTGCTCCAGCACCTGCCGCGCCCCTGCCACGTTTACCAGCATCTCCTCCATGTGAATGTACTTGTACCTGAGAAGGAGGGAGGAAGGGCAGCACAGGTTTGGGAATGTGAGTGAAGAGAGGGAGGGGATTAGGTGCGCGGGACAGCCCCTGCCACGTTTACCAGCATCTCCTCCATGTGAATGTACTTGTACCTTGTGTGTGTGTGGGGGGGGGGGGGGGGGGGGGGGGGGGGGGGGAAGGATGGGGGAGGGCAGCACAGGGGGATGGGGAATGGTTGGTGCATGAAGCAGCCCCTGCCACGCTTACCAGCATCTCCTCCACGTGAATGTACTTGTACCTTCGGGGGGGGGGGGAGGAAGAGAGAAGGGGGATGGCGGAAGGGGGGTGGGGAAAGAGGGAGACTCACGCCAGCCCTCACTCACCAGAGCTGGTCGATGCACGGCAGCAGCGACACCTCTCGGTCGGTCTCACACGTTCCGCGCATGGCGCTGTGCTGTGATGCTACAGCATATAACGACCAAGACACACGCCATCCTTGACTCACCAGAGCTGGTCGATACGAGGCAGCAGCGACACTGCACGGTCCCACACGTTCCTTGCATGGTGCTGTGCTGTGCTGTGGCATTGATCGACTTAACAAGCCATCTTTGACTCACCACAGCTGGTCGATGCGGGGTAGCAGCGACACTGCGCGGTCCCACACGTTCCGCGCATGGTTGACGAAGCGGTTGCGCATCTCCATGTCCGCGTATTTCAGCCATATGGACACGTTCCTGGGAGTATGGTGAGGGGAAGTGGGGATGAAAGTGAATGAAGCGAATTGATGGGGTGCATCAGTGCATGGTTGCTCTCAAAGCGGTTGCGCATTTCCATGTCCGCGTACTTGAGCCATATGGACACGTTCCTGGGGGTAAGGGGAGGGGGAAGGGGGAGATCGGGAATAAAGTGCATTGGTGAGACGCATCACAGCGTGCCTCCGCTCGAAGCGGTTGCGCATCTCCATGTTCGCGACGCGTATTTCAGCCATATGGACACGTTCCTGGGAGTATGGGGGAGGGGAGGGAGACAGGGAACAATGACAGCAGTGGGGGGGAAAAGGGAGGAGAGGAGAGGGTTGCGTCAATGAATGGTTGACAAAGCGGTTGCGCATCTACATGTCCGCGTACTTGAGCCATATGGACACGTTTCTGAGATTGCAAACCCTAAGTACGGGGAAGAACGGGACGGGGAAGGATGGGAAAGACAGGGAGCAATAGCGAATTTACTTTTCCGCGTACTTGAGCCATATGGACACGTTTCTCAGGGATTACTCACCTGCAATCAGACTCACCTAAAGTCACAACCACCAATTACCACACTCACGTACAATCACGCTCACCTATAGTCCACCTCCAGCGCTCGCTCCCACACGGATCGCGCGCGCGCGAAGTCCTTCTGGCTCATCTCCCACGTGGCGTATTTAACCCATACGCTCGTGTTCCACCTAACCCGGCGAATCAAATCTTCAAACTCCTTGCGCTTCCTTAATCGGTACTCCCCGAGCTCCTGCGCGTCGGTGATCTTCTGCTTGGGCGCCGCGGTTTCTACCTCCTGCCGCTCGCGCGCCTCGCGAAGGATTTGCTCCGCGGTGATCTGGACCGGCGCGGGCGTTTTGTTCTTAACGCGCGTCGCGCGCGGGAGGCGGATCTCCGACTCGCGCTTCGTCATGTACGCGAGCCGCGCGTCGGCTTCTTTGGAAGCCATGGCGGCGAGATTCCGAAGAAAACCAACAGACTATGAAACGCACGTTATGTCAATTAGGTTTTGGCGACGCGGCTGGTAATGCGACGGAAGGTAATATGTGACGACCGAGAGAAACGCGAAACTCGCGGACGAGCTGACGTCAGCCTAGCCAAACGGATAAGGTAGAACTGGCCTTCACTCGTAAGATCGGAGCTACCTTGGCTGGGGAAAGCACGGCTAAAATACCTAAGATAACACACTGCCAGCTAGGCTTCGGAATTTATGAGGCGAAAGTTGGGAGGGCGAAGACCCTGCGAGAGAGAATTGAAAAGCTGGTTGGTAACAGAGGGTTTGCGGCCGGTGGCGAATTCGCGAAACGCTGGTAACCAGACGCAGCAATCGAACATCGAGGTGCACTGAGAAACAAGTTCAGATAAAACTCGCTTTCCTAAGGTTATGGCTGGTTGGAAAGAAATAGCAAGTTCAATTCAAGTACCTACACCAGTAGATCCATCCAGAGAATGTGTAAGGTACATAATGCAAATAGATAGGAAATATAAATATAATGCTTACATAGTTCAAACATGACAATCGCAGACACAAAAGGCCCCATAACCTGCACCACCAGCAGGTGGACTCCCACTAAGCTTTCTCCCAACATGGAAAAGGCAGGGTCCTGCCAACCAATTCGACCACTGATGGCCACATCCTGGGGCATTAATTATTTACACCTCAGAAGCATAAATGAAATCAAACGTTGTCTACCCAGCTCACAGATTAGCAGCCATTTTTGCTGCATCTGTGCCTGGTTGACGGAAGACGAACGGGGCGGGATGATAGATGAAGGTCGAATGATGGGGCCTGTGAGGAGAACTTTAGACCCATGGTCACCAGCAAAAGTTCTGATCGCTTTACAGCGTGCTGATGATCCGAGCGGCGTCGACGCAGTGAATCGTCGCGAGCGCGAGCGTAGTAGCGCGGGGCGGGCGCTCATGCGCCATGCGAATGACCTCAATATCGCGCTCCAGCTCCGCAAGACACTCCTCCGCGCGCTCCTTCCTCGCGCACCACGGCCCTCCGCGGCCCCCCACCACGCCGTGCTGCGGGTGGCGCAGCAGCGCGTGGATTCCCAGACGCACGCGCTTCAGCATGGTCACGCCAGCAGCGGCGAGGGATTCGCCAGAGACCAGGGCGTCCTGGCTGTGGTCAACGCGGTCAACGGGGTCAATGCGAGCGACGCTCGACGTGGCGGTTTGGACGTGCTGCAGCATGCGAGCGTAGGACTGGAGGAAGAGCACCATGGATTCGTGCGACGGGAAGACCGGAGTCGGCGGGAGCGACGTGAAGGGGTAAAAATCAGGCGCTTCTGAAGCGGGGGTGTCCTTGGTGCAGGGATACTTGCACCGACGGCATCGCGGGCCGCAGTCTTCGGCGGTGGTAGAAGTAGAACGGTTGGGAGGTGCCTTCACAGACGTGGCGGCGTCTGCGGGAAAGAGAAAATGAGAAACGTCAAAAAATGAGTGAGATTGACGACGTAAAAAACGAATAAGAAGATGGAAAATGAAGAGATCACACATTCCGCGACATATCGTGCGAAAACGAAGTGAGAGCTGAACGAATTTCGGGAGAATGAAGGACTGGATGATAATTATTTATGAATTAATGGCAAAACTCTTCGAAAACGAACTGAAAGACGGGACCTACCTGAAACTTTCGTGGGAATCGGGGCGGCGGCGACAGTGGCGATGACATGCGGAGCTTCAGCGCGGACCGGCGCGAGGCGAACGCCCGTCGTAGATGGAGCCTGGCGAGCTGGGGTCTTGCCAAAATCAGAGGTAAAACTCGGAGACGCGACAGCGCCAGTGAGAAACGCGTGAGCCATGACAGGAGTGGGAAGATATCCGGATGAAATATAACTGCGTCTTCTGAGCGCGAACTCGAACTTGTGAGAGCTGATCAAAGGCGGCAGAAGGCTTGTATAGTAGCTAGTCAATTGAGAACGGAATAGTTGGTGAAATGGTAGTTGAACTGATTTGGCGAGTGAAGAATGGTAAAAGCGGAGGCAATTTATGCTTCGGAATTTCGATGGTTGGGACTGACAGTGCAAGTCTGCATTTGAGCCGCTGGTGTATGTTTGGCTGGATTAAGCTAGTTACAGAACGTTTTGGATGATTTCAGTGGAGTCAATGAGAGAAACATTTCACGCCACACAATCCCAAACCGCATGCACACATTAAGCGCGCTTCAGCTCTCATCGCCGTGGCGCATCTCCCCATTTTGCGCTTCACACGCCCCTCGCCTCCATCCAACCAACCCACCAAGCGGGGAGGTTGGCGGTGGCGGAACGCGGAACAGCGAAATGCGGAGACGGACTTTCGCTATTGTCGCGAAGGAGGAGCAGGCAGGCCTGGCTTGAAACGACAACGACCAACCGCGACGACTGCCCTATCTCTTTGGAGCCAAGAACGTGCTAAGAAACTTCTGCTGAAGTGGTTAACCATCAATCATTTCCAAGCTTCTTATTGGTTAAAAAAGCATTGATCAAATGCAGGCCACCTGTAAACCCAACATTTGTTTTGAATTGCAGGCGAGTTATCTCTGAGGCCCTACTGTTCAAGGGATATCCCAGACTACCTTGCAAATCTGGATCTGTATACAAGTTTTGTTCTGTCAGGTGCCGCACAGCACTCTGCTCTGTGAAAGAATCAAGTTGATGGTGGGATGAGGTGTCTGGGGATTACTGCTAAGTGTGGGAAAATACGTACATGTTTCGATGGGTGTTGGGAAAAATTCTCAACGGATGTATGTATATACTTTCAGCAGTGGCTGACACATCCTGGCTCTACCTAGATTTTCCCATCCGGTTGGGGTGAACTCTGACAAAAAAAGAGCGGCTAGGAGAGGCATTTGGCGTGCAGTGCAGAGGCCCATCCGGAGTTCCACGTCATGAGACGGCACACGTTCGACAGCTGGGTTGACAATTCTGCTTTGTGGTCAATGTGAGCTGGATCCAGCACTGGATCGCACTGGTTGGCTGTGTGATTGTGTGTCCAGGATTGGTGGTTGATCAAACCACTTTCCCGTGTAAAGCGCATCTAAAGTCGTGGTGTATGAGACGTGTGACGTGTACGACCATAGGTTCCGTGTTTCCAACACCAAGCGCTCTGCGTCGCTGGAAAGTCTCTAGTCAACAACCTGAGGCACATCGCTTGACGCACACAGTTCGACTCGCGTCATCTTTGAAACAGTTGGTATTAAGTTATGACGTGGAATCATCCTGCGCTAGACTCTCATATTCGGAATGTATCGAGACTGTTCAACAGTACACGTAGATCTCTTCGAAGAAGGGCAGCCTCCACAGTTTCTTAGGAAGTTGCCTCTTTTCCCTGCTGTGCTGGAACCGTACGACTTTCACAGCTAGCTGGCGACAGCAAGTTGGCGGGAGTCGTGTGCATTGCATGAATCCAAGCCGTTCCCCCCAGCTTGTGCACAAAGGTTGACATCGGCTGCACCTCGCTCTCATCCGCGGAGCGTGGTTGGTTGGTGGCGTGCGCAAATCTTGTGGATGGTGTGCCGCGGGGGCGCGGCTCCCGGAGACGGGAGGGCAACAACGAGCGGTTGACCTGACGCCCATATCCCAAAATCAAGATCCCAGTTTCTTTGCGTGTCTGGTAACATTCTGCGAACGTCCAGCCCCTCCCCAAACGGAATTGCGATATTCGCGTTCGTCGTGAACCTTGTTGGGCTGAGGAATATAGGTGTGATTTGCGAAAGCAAAACGGTGCAGCAGAAACCGTTTTCTTGCGACTTTCATGCTTAGAGGTAATTCTTCGCAAATTCGCTGACCAGATTGGTTTTTTCGTTCACTTGGGGCACACACACACACTCACCCCAAGGCCTTCATCGCGGAAAAGGAAAATGTCGAATTTGGGGGTCCGAAGGTTTTTCTACGAAAAGCCTGCGTCTGTGTTGCGCGAAGCGTCCAAAAAACAACGCACGCGAAACGCGACATTCCGTACACCAGTACCGGATGTTTTCACGGACACAAAACCGTCACCCGAAAGTTGCATTCCCGTCAACAGTTTCGCGTCAATCGGTTTTGCGCGTTCGAGAGAGTTTGCAAGCGGTAATGCAGAGTAACAAATGACAGTGGGATGTAACCACACAATTTACGAAACAAACCGACCCCACGAATCTTCACGAAATCCAGCGAGGTTGCAGAACTGGATACATTGTTTTCGTTTTTTTCTCAGATCTGAACTCCAACCACCCAAACAAAGCCACGGACGCTAGATGGTTCTTCAGGGGTGTGACGTGTGAGCCCAAATATTATTTATAACCAATCACTGTCAAACAACACATGCCATCTTGAACACGTCAGCACGCCCAGCCTATCCAAACCAAATCAAACGCCCACCTCATACAGTTGTTCCGTCCACCCCGTTGCAGACCACGCAGATTCCCAGCATTCACGCACTTATTATCACCTACGCCCACAGAACATACATTTCGGACTGCAAGTCTCTTCAACTTCTGCTCACTCTTTTCGTAATCTCCGCACTCCTCGTCTAACCCTTCTTAACTCCGAGTTCCTTCAAGCCCACAGCCAGACTGTGTGAGAACGTCGAGACTATGTTGCCTTGCGCGAACATAGTATCGTTAATTCTATTTTTTTTTTTCAATCGTCCATACGCATGTTTGTCCGTTTTTCACATCCCTCCCCTTTTCAGGCGGCAGCTCCGGCCAACTATTGACGTCGCGCTGCTGGGGTACATGAGAGTCGCGCAAAGGAAGGCCATTGTTGCGCAACACGCCGGGTACGTTTACAGTTCTGATCTTGCACGTGAAGCTGTCTTTATTTTATTTTATTGTGCAGTTTCTATTTGTTTATGTACACGTTTTTCCTAGTGCGACATATAACTGTATATGTCTTTGCTCGCCGTTTCGCCGTTTCCAGTTACCGTGTCGCTTCGGTTTAACGCATTGCTCCTCTGTGCAGCCCCATTTCACGTTAACTTCTCGTATGCCTCGTTTCCAGCTCGTTCCTTTATCACGCTTATTCTGGACAGCTAAGTCTGCTGCAATCGTGTTGTTTAGTCCCACTGCGATTGACTGTCCTAAGGGTATGTATTCTTGTGTCAAGCAAAATTTGCTATTACTAACCCATCTGAAGCAATGTCAGCGCGATACGTAACAGCACGCTGTGTTTGCATGTGTTGCAGAGCGTGCCTGGTTTTGCAGGTTTACCGTGAACCATTTGTGCAGTATTTTTATATTTCAGCAGGGTTGCATACTCCAGTCGTAAGAACTCCATAGGTGAGCATATAGTTTTGCTTGTTTATGAGGTTTCTATTTCCTTCGTTCTTCGAGGTTACATTCGTTTTCTGCCTGGCAGAGTGTGCAGGGCTTCTTAGCTATGGATTATGCGTAGAGTATTATGGGTACATTGTACGTTCTTATACTGGTATAATTTGTATGCCCTGTCAGATGAACTTGTTACAGTAAAATTATTTATTTTTTACCAAAAACGCACACCAATATAGGAGATTCGTCAACTGGAACCATGAAATCGCCAGCCAATGAAATTCGAAACCGCGCACCCCGTTTCGTGCCCGATTGGTCCACGTGGCACGATTAAGAGCGTTGTTTTTGTCAGGATCCAACGGTTGTAGGTAGCTTACAGGAACTGCCACGTCAACATGTTTCAGTTTCATCTGGCGTACATCGTATGCCACGTGGCGTTGTCGTGACACTTTCGCATGGGTTGCCCAAGAGTGGCGTTTTCCACCTCCATAGTTGCATTACCGTATACCTCACAACTGCACCGAAGTGTACAGTTTGTGTTGGGAATGTGACGGGAAAGTCACTTCGCAAGTTACTGAGGCTACCACTGTTGTCGAGTCAAACTTTTTTCTTGCGCGGGAAATGCAACTGGAAAGTTACGAAACAGTAACTTTTAGGTTTTTTTTCGCACTTCCCTTTTCCGCGATGTTGCCCATTCCGTTGAAATGCTAAATATTTCACATTTGCAGATGTTGTAGCTGATAACTCTTCCTATTTTCCTCGCTCTGTTTTTTATTGACATGCAACGCATCGAACATCCTCGAACGTACAACCAATATCGCGTATGGATAGAAAGAGGAAAAGGGAAAGAGGGAGAAGGAAAAGGGAAAGAAAGACACCAGAAACAACTCAAACGCAACACCCATAAAAAGCCCCATAAAAATACTCCATAAAGAAAAAACCCAACCAGGATCCCCTACCAGACGTCCCATCTCGCACCCCATTCCCCCTCGCCCCCCCCCCCCCTCCCCCCCCAAGTCACATCTGCACATCCACCATGTAGGGGGCCTCCACCCAAAGAGGCCCGCCCTCCACCTCGACATCGTCCCTCTCCCGATCCACCAAGTCCACATTCAACCCCCCCATGGAAGACGCCGCCCGAAGCAGGATGACACGAGCTTGCGCCCGTTGTAACGCCACTCCGATGAGCGCCTTCAGAGACCCCAAAAGGTAAGCCGAGAACGAAGTGTCATCCTCCCGACAAGCCCCCCGTGACACAGCGTGCGCGTCCCCCTGCTGTCGAAGCCACCGCCGGAAGCGACCGCCGAGACACCCCCACGTCTCCACTATCAAAGGGGTGAACTGTGTCATAATCATTAGCTAGAACTTAGTAGCCATAGCTAGGGTTTAGGGTGCTTGCATGAGTGTCGAGAAGTTTGAGCTAGGAGAAAGGGTGTTCATTAATGAGCAAAGGTACAAGATATAGTGCAAGGGACAAGGGAATGAGGTGCACCACCAATGTAACACTACACTAACTACTGCTACAAGCAGTTTATATAAGAAATATATTTCAACACACCCCCTAAACTGCTTGCAGCAGAAAGCTAATGCAGAGACACCCCCTGAAAGGGTACACCAAGCGCAGCAGAAGGAGATGACAAGTGAGGAGGAGGAGGAGGGACTGTGAGAGGAGAGGAGATTGGAGGCGGCGGCTGAAGCTGCTGGCACACGGGCGACTGGAGCAACTGGCGCACTGGCTACCGGAGCAAGGGCTCCGGACTGCTGGAGTAACTGGCTCCGCGGCTAAGACGAGCGGCTGGAGCAACGGACCCACGGGCGACTGGCGCAACGGGCTCGCTGGCTACCGGAGCAAGGGCATCCGGACTACTGGCGCTGCTGGCTCCACAACAGCTACCTCCGTTCAACCTCCCCCCATTGCCCCCAACCCCTTTCTCACATCCCCCCCAGCATCTCTACCACCACTCCTTCGGCTCCCCACACACCCACCCCCCTCAGCGGCAGCTGCAGCAGTGGGAGACGGAGGAGGAGGAGGAGCAGGGGACGGCGCACACTCTTGCACCCCCATACGCTCCACCCCCAAACCCTAATTCAGGAGCACGGGCAGCAGCAGGGGTGGGGCGCCGTCAGAAGCACGGGGGACAGCGGGCAGTGCAGGGGAAGAGGAAACAGGGCACCCACGGGCCTGGCGCAGCCCGTACGAACCGCGCGCGGGCGGCTCGAGGCGCGCCCTGGCCTGGCGCAGCCCGTACGAACCGCGCGCGGGCCTGGCGCAGCCCGTACGGGCCGCGCGCGGGCCTGGCGCAGCCCGTACGGGCCGCGCGCGGGCCTGGCGCAGCCCGTACGGGCCGCGCGCGGGCCTGGCGCAGCCCGTACGGGCCGCGCGCAGGCTGTACGGGCGCGCGCGGGCCGTACGCAGGTCGCGCAGGCCACGACAAGCAACGGCGGGCGACGCGCGGGTCCCCGTCGCCCGTCGCAGCGCCTCCTGGGAGCGACGCACGGAGTGACGGGGCAGAAAACCGCCGCGCGCCCCGAGCGCGCGGCGGGAAGAAAAAATCGCTGCGCGCCCGGAGCGCGCGGCAGGCAGGAAACAGCAGCGGAAGCATGATGGGGCCCACAGGCCAGGAGCATAATTTGCTCTGAAACCATGTCAGAAGAACTGAACGAGGAATGAATGAACTAGCAGTGAAATGAGTACGCGCCAGGCACGCGCGCGGCCCGTACGGGCTGCGCCAGGCCCGCGCGCGGCTCGGACCGCCTGCGCGCGGTTCGGGAGGCTGTGCCAGGCCCGTGGGCGGCCCGTTCTTCGCTGCCCCTGTCTTATGGGCGCACTCACCCGCTACTTAAACAAGCCCTTTTATCCCAGTGGTTAGTGGCTGGGATTCTGACATGGTATCAGAGCGAAGGTCTCGGGTTCGATTCCCGGTGTGTGCACTTCGGGCATCCCAGTGCGGGGGGGTGTCAGAGGTCCACTGGAGATCCCCGATGATCCTAGGGAAGGGTTACAGGCACGTCGGCCTGGGGGGTTATGGGCGCACTCACCCGCTACTTAAACAAGCCCTTTTATCCCAGTGGTTAGTGGCTGGGATTCTGACAAACTGCACGCCTCGGTTCCGTGCAAGAAGAGGCGCGTAATCCCCCGTTTTGCGACGCTCCCACTCCTTTGCCGCCACGCCTATAGACCGCCCGCACTGCCCTAGCAGAGATGGAGACAGTGATAGCGGGTCCGCGACACTAATCTCTAAAGCATGAGCCTCCCCAGCCATTGGTCGTCGCACCGCTACGTCAACCCGCTTCCCCGGCAGCACCGCACTATCCTCCATCGTCACCACCCCCCCTGACGCCTTAGCGATCTTTGCCACCGCAAACTTCACCTCATCATGCACCCGAGATGGACCGTGTTGGTGCTTGCATCTCAGCGCATGATGCGGGTCTGCTGGGTCATCATACGCTGTGCCACAAACACACCTCCCCGCCACTTGCAGCTGCTGGATTGGGAGACCAAGCCGTATAGCAGCAGCAATGCCCCACTCCGCTGCAGTGAATGTGAGATCTGAATGAGCCGGAACTGCCGAAACCCATGCACCAGCCCCCGGGCCCTGAAGGGATGTGAAACGGGCCAGGGTGGCATCGTCACGAGCCAAGCGGCGGAGTGCCTGGAGCTCCTCAACAGCCAACTGCCGCTGCCGCGCCTGGAAAAGCCGAAGAGGAGGGGCCGCCACACACAGGGGTAAGTCCGGCAGCTCCTGGCGTATAGTCGCGGGCAACTGCTCAATGGCCTTGGCAAACCACGGGTCAAGAAGCTCCGCCCCCGCCGAAGTGGTGAGGTACTCTGCGAACATCGCCTCCTCGCCCGCCACCCCCAAATGTGCAATATCCCGTGCGGCCTGCGCCCACCCACAAACATAGGAGAGCGGACTCAAAGAGGCCGCCGCCCGGATCCCAAACCCTCCGAGGCGCACAGGGAGATGCAGCTGCATGCGTGCGCGCCTAGTGTCAGAATCTAGAATAGAACGAGAATGGATGAACTAGCAGGAAGGTGGGTACAAGTATGAAACCCTAAGTTTGTGTACCCTCTAAGGCTAAACCCACTATAGCCTACACAATATAAACATACAATGTTTGACACACCCCCATAGGCAAAGTGGGTGACAACCAGAGGGTCACAAGACCAGTCAAAGCAAAGCAAAGCAAAACAGGCTCAGGGTGGATCTCAAGGATACCACACAAATTCCGAGCACAAGCAAGCGGTCACAAGACCAGTTCACATGCAGTTTGATAATATAGCAAGAGATACAGTGATCGCAACCTAGCAAGTGTAAGCATGCAGGTATATATATAGAGATCACAGTACAAACAGAGTCAAGAAGTAAGCAAGTGAGGTCCAGCAGGCACAAGGCCTAGAAGAGTACAGAAGCGCTGATGGTCACAAGGCTGAAGCGCCTTGGTGAACACATCAGCAGTGTTGGCCTCAGTGGCCACGTAACGCAGACAAAGCTGACCGCGCTGCTGCAGCTCTCGAGCAAGGAAGTACCGCAGGGCGATGTGCTTCGTTCAGTGCTCCAGTCTGTGCTCCTCACACAAGGCAATGGCAGCCTGGTTGTCGACGTACAGCACTGGAGGAGAACGAGGCCGCTCACCCAAGTCGGTCAGCAGGTAGGTCAGCCAGCGTAGCTCCTGGGCAGCCATGGCTGTGGCGTAGATCTCAGCCTCACAACTGGAGCTGAGAACAGAAGAAGAGCGTGTAGAACGCCAAGAAACTGAGCCGGAGCCAAGGCTGAAGGTGTAACCCTGAGACGACCGCTGAGTAGCCTGGTCGTCCGCCCAAGAAGCGTCTGAGTGTCCAGTAAGTACAACTCAGTCTCGCCCTCCAAGCACTAGCCCCATGCCCGACGTACTGCACAAGTAGCGCAACACCCTCTTAGCGGCATCCATGTGCTCCTTCCTGTGACGGCCAGGAGCGACATAGCGTGCAAGGATGCTAAGAGGGTATGCAAGGTCAGGTCGAGTGCAGGTCATCAAGTACATGAGGCAGCCCACAAGCTCTGGATACAGGCCACTCGGCTCTATGGACTCATCCGAAGGCAGAGCTAAGAGCGAGTGACCTGTAGGCAGAGGAGTGGACTGTGGCGAGGAGTACGTGAAGCGGAAGCGCTGAAGGATCTGCTGCACCATGTGTGACTGAGTCAAGGTAATGGTGCGCCGTGCTCTGTCCCGGGTGATCCGCAAGCCAAGATAGCTTGTCAGTTCACCCAGGTCTGTGCACGTGTGTCTCTTCTGCAGCTTCGACTTCACGTGGGCGAGTGCCGCAGTGTCAGTAGTGGCAAAGACCAAGTC